CTGAGATAGGACTGCAGATTTAATGTCATCTTGGGCAACTCAGTGAGTCCTGTCTCAAAATTTAAAAAAATCTTAAAGACCAAGGATATAACTCATGGTGGAACACTTGGCTAGTACACGTGAGGCCCTGGGTTCAAGCCCTAGGAGCACCAAAGCAAAGCAAAGCAGAACTGGAGAGATATAGCACAGAATAAGAAGCAGATCTTTGGTGAGGCTAGGCAATGTTCCTGCCCTTGGGTCCCGAGGTATCTCTGAACCCTAATATTAAATTCTCCCCTTTTGTGTAACATGGTAATGCCTACAAACACAGCTGTCAGGAAGGCTTCTCTGCCTCCACACACTCTTTAAGGGAGTGGGATCTATTTCTCAGTCCCCTGTAGAAAGTGGTGGAGAAGATGTCCTGCCAGTTCCAAAAACAGCCATTAAGAGATGTGGCAATTTCTTCCCCTGCCTCCTGGGTTTCCAATGCTGGGTAACAAAGGTTCATGTAGACAGAGGGCCACATGGAGAGAGAGGGGTCACACAGAGTCCAGCCACCAGCTGCATGCAGGTAAGACGGCAACCTCAGCCAACATCCTCAGCCAACATCCTACGGAGCAGAAAACCTGCCCAGCAGAGCCCTGCCTGAATTCTCAGCCAATCAAATCATGAAAAAATATGATACGTTATTGCTTTAAATCACGATGTTGTGGGTGTTTTGTTACACAGCAGTAGATGACTGAGACAACCTGGCTGGGTTTTGTTTCCTAATTTTTGCTCACAATGTGTTCCATCTAACACAGAAAGTTGGTTATGGTCAGGCCCACAGAATAAACCCTGAGGTTCCCCTTCAAGCTTGAAGAAGGAAGTGGGGACATAATGGGGCTAGCTAATAGGTCTTTCTCTTGGCCATCGTGTTTGCCTCCCAGGATGCCAAAGACAGCAGCAGGGCTGGGTTGAGGGCTGAGGCTGAGCAATGCTTAGATTTACCCAGCCTGAATGTAGCAAAACTGCCCTTGGGAGGCCTAGGGATCCTTCTCTCCTAGAACTTTAAGCCAATCTGGCGGCACTGGGAGGCATCCATGGGTCAGGAGGAGCTGGAGGGGGCCACAGGGCCAGTACAAGGAAGTTCCAGCCTCAGACTCCAGTGTCCCCTGCATACCTGAGTGTTCCACATGTCAGGTTCTGCAGAGCAGTGCTCCCCAGCTTTTTTTGACACTGGTTTCATGGAAGACAATTTTTCTATGGATGGGGGCTGGAAGCAGAGGGTCTCAGGATGATTCAAAGGACAGCACAACCTAGACCCTCTGCCTGCAAAGTTCACATAGGTCCTGGGGCACACAAAGGGGGAGTGGCTGTCCCTGAACCAGCGATTGGGGACCCCTGCTGTAGGTTTTGGGAATTTTGAGGAAAGACCTCATCATGACAAGCAAGTTTAAGAGTCAGCAAGGCCAGGGTGGATGCCGTGCTCCTCGCTGACCTTCAGCGAGTGCCCTAGGCTCCCTCAGCCTCTGGTTCCTCACCTGCAAAGTGGAGACGGCAGCAGCACCTGTCTGATAGGGTGGAGAGCAATGAATTAATTCAAATAAAGCTTTAAAATGCAGGGTTTGGCACATGGGAAGCGCTCTGTGAGTGGTTTCCATGGTGATGGTCACTATCCTGCTCCTCAGTGATTTCTCTGCCCTCCCAGATGGCCTGTGCTCAGGTAAGAGGAAACTCAGCGTGGCTGAGCGGGCACCTGCATAGGGGCCACGATGCTCCTACAGTTCTGGCAGCTCGTTTGCTCTGGAGACACAGCCAGCAACACAGCGTGGGGTCCCCACCTGCAGCCCATCGAGGATCCTGAGAACCACACTGACTCATCTGATGAGTAGGGGGAACGGAGACCCCCAAAATCTTGCTAGCCGAGAGCCTCCGGTCCTATAGTGGCAGCCCTGGCCGGCACCCCACCATCAGGATTGCTGCCTGTCTGAGCCTGCACCCGGCTTTAGCAGACTCTGCTCTGATCCCCTCGCAGGGAAGCGTGGGTGGAACAGGAGTACTGTGAGGGCCGGCCGGAGCTCAGAGCCACAAATAGCATCGGGTTTGCCTCTGGCGACGCTGCCAGCAAGGACTCTTCCGGGACCAGAATGCCCTCCCGCGCCGGGAAGCCAGGCGGAAAAAATGCACCATCTCAGCAGAACACATGCTGTCAGCTCGGATTTGGCCCTGCTTCCCTGGAAACCTGGCAAAGCTCCTTCAGGGGAAGCCAGGGGCTGCGAGGACGCTGGGGCTTGCCAAGCCGGAGTCTCGGGCTCGCCTGTAGACCAGAGCATTGGCCAGTGTCAAGAGCAAGCCTGCTCCTCCCCTGTAAAAGCCATCTTTAGTCACCATCCCTGATTAAACCTGCAAGAGGCACCTCGTGGATCAAAAATGTAAAGAAGCAGGTAGCCCCGGTTTGCAGATGAGGAGACTGAGGCCAGGGAGGTAAAGTGGCCTACTTCAAGTCACCTGGGAGGAAGTGGCAGGGGTGGGGTTTGAACTAGGTCTCTCTGATTTGGGGAGACTTGCTCTGCTGCCACACCACCAAGTTAGGGGTGAATATGTCAGCCACGGGGGACTGGCAGGGGCCCTGTCTACCCCATTCTAGAATGTTCAAGCTGGGGTCCACTCGGTCCCCTGGGATCCTCTTAATTTTACTTTGAGCGTGTCCCTGAGACCATATGTGCAAGACCTGATCTGATACCCCTGGCCGTGGCTGACTGGAGAACTCCCTGCAGAAGTCAGCTAATCAGAGTACTTTCTCAGGACCCTGGACACGATTCTACTCCCAGCCACTTGGCCGCAATCGATGTGGACAGAAACTGGGCAGCAGCCTCAGCAGCTAACATCACTCATTCACTCAACAACTATTTTGCTGTTCATGTACTCGGCACCAGGCTTTGACTACAGTGAACAGAACAGGCAAAATCCCTGCCTTCAAGAGTCTTGCTATCAGGGTGGGTGGCGTGTGATAGCCAAGGTAACAGGGAAGGTACAAAATGTGACAGATGGGGAGGGTGCAGGGCAGGAGGAGGCTTGAGGTGAATGCAGTGCTCGCTTCTGGCATTTACATTAACATCCGGTCTTTCCTTGTCTCAGGATAAGGCCGCTGCTATGTGACATGCAAATTCTCTCTCTCTTTCTCTCTCTCTCTCTCTTTCTCTATCTCTCTCTCTCTCTTTCTCTCTCTGCAGATACCCCTCTGAGATATCTTTTAGAAAAACCAAAAAAAGCTGAGTGTGGTGGTGTGTTGTGCCTATAATCCAGGCTACTTGGGATGCTGAGGCAGGAGGATCACAAGTTCAAGCCATTTAGTGAGAACCTGCCTCACTTGGGGGCGTCCCTGAGCCGTACAATGCTTGCCTAGCAATGTGAGGCGCTGGCTTCAATCCCCAGCACTGCGATATGACATAAAAACCCAAGCCCACAGCAAGACCCTTCCACCTCCCTCCCGGAACTGTCCGGCCACCTGAGGGGCAGGCGAGGCTGAGGAGGAGCCTGTCCTTTGTGGATGGCCTCTCTCCATCTGGGCCTGCCTGTCCCCAGCCGGCGTGTGGCAGCCGTGAGGTCAGCGCACCCAGCAGTGAATCCTTGCAAACAGTCAGCAGTGGCTGCTCCTGGCACAAGGGCCTGGGTGGGGTTGATCCCCCTGTTACTCACTGGAAGCTGGGTCTGGGGGACCACTCTGTGGCCTTTCTGCATTGGAGTAGCCACTTCCCAGCCATCCTAGAGCCCCCTTCCCCTGGCCACCCCCACCCGGATGTCCACCCACACGTCCTCCAGCCCCCCTCACACCCCCCTGGCTCCCAGCACCTTCCCCAATCCCTGATCTTGTCTCCCCAACACATCACACCTGTCCCCCGTGAGCCTGGCTGTCTCCCACCCACGCATTCAGGGTCCTTCTCCCAAACCCCACCTCCTCCCCTTCAGGGCGTTCATTTATCACAGAAGGTCCCTGAGCCTGGGCCTGAGACCTGGCAAGAACACGTGACATCAGAGAAGTGAAGCCACAAGCCCAGGTTCCACCAAGGCCACATGGGCAGTGGACTGGAAGTCCGGCCCCCAGTCCAGGCTCAGAGGCCTCACTCCACACTGCTGCCTCCCACAGAACCCAAGGACCCAGCTCTCAGTTCTCTTGCATAATTGACGCCACATTTCTCGCTATCTCCCTCCTATCCCTTAACACATAGCTGTATATATTTGTGGGGTACAGTATTTTTGCAGTACTGGGGATTGAACCCAGGTCCCTCACACTAAGCTACTTTTTTTAAAAAAAAAATTACTTGGAGATAGGATCTTTCTAAGTCACTAAGTTTCCCGGGTTGGGTTTGATCTAGGAATCCTCCTGCCTCAGCCTCCCAGAGTGCTAGGATTATAGATGTGCACTGGCACACGCAGCTACAGCCTGACATTTCAGTACATGCGCACCCTGTGTAATAATCAGGTCAGAGTCACATCGCCCTATCTCCAGGAGCATCCAAAATCCCCTCTACTTTCATTTTCAAACATTTGACAAATTGCTGTGGACCGCAGCTCTCCTGCTGAGCTGGAGAGCTAGAGACCTGCCCACCCACAGCCCATGCCCGTTAAGCGTCCCCTTCCCTGGCCCTGGACACCTCTGTTCTCCTCTGTGACCCTGGAGGCCCAGTCCCCCAGTCCTGCACTGCCATGTCCCCACCCGCCTCTGTCCATGTCCCCTCGCTGTGTCCTCACCACTAAAGTGTCAGAATGCGTCAGGTGAGTCCCCATCTCAGGTCCTCCCCCGCCTGCAGCCTGCACCCTCGGCCTCAGCGGCCCAGTCCACTCTCCCCACCTCCCGCAGCAAGGACTCCAGGTCTGTCTGGTGACAGAACTGTCCTGCCTGATCACAGAAGGTCTCAAAAGACAACACCCAAGTCGGCCAGCCGGCAGCCCGCCCCGCACCCCGCCCCACAGCCGGCCCTGGCCTCTCCGGCCCCCTTTCAGGGACAGAAGCCTCAGCCTCACCCAATGCGCCTCACCCAATGCGCTCCTGCTCCATCTCCTCCATTTTCTCAGCCCGAGCGATCACCCTGTTGATGATTTCCTTCTCCTCGTCCGTCAGCTCCTCCTGCTTCCTCTGTCTGTCTGTCTGTCCACTGGGGTGGACAGACCAGCCTGCCTGGAGCCTGAAAGGCAATTTGGGAAGGTGTGAGGTTGGACAGAAAACCGATGAGATTATGTCTTACTTTATTATTATTATTTTTATTATTAGACAAGATCACATTTTGTAGCTCAGACTGGCCTTGAACTCATTATGGGACCCCAGCTGGCCTTGACCTCATGACGATCCTCCTGCCTCAGCCTCCTGAGTGCTGGGATTATAGGGGTGCACCATCACATCCAGTGCCCATTGGATTGATTTTTATCAAGTGCTTGGTAATCTACATGGTGGGCACTCCACAAACAGCATTTGGAGGAGGCGCATGAAACCTGGGAAATTCCAAAGGAGGAGACTTCCATAGCTGGAGGGGTTACAATTCTTCTAAGTGACCTGAAGCCCTGGGTCCCAGGATGACCCCAGTGCTTACCTGGCACAAAGATGCTAGAATTAAAAAAAAATATATTTAAACTAATCGCCAACCAGGTTTATATAAATCTCTTGACTTCACATAAATGTCAAGGTTCCTGGCTTCAAAGCCTCCTGGCCATTTCAGGTTCTACCCTCTGCTCTTGTTTCTAAAAAATAAACATTGCTATGGTGCCACCTCGGCGCCCATGTCACCTCCTTGAACCCTGTTGTCATCCCTGCAAGGCAGGCCCTGGCAGGGCTCCTGTTTCCTGAGGGAGGAGGCCGAGGCAGGAGGGATTAGATGGCCCAGAGGAATAGAGGCTGCTGGGAACAGAGCTGGTGCTGAGGCCTATGGGTAACCCGGGTTCCCTCCTCTAGCACCATGGTCCCCGCTGACATGCAACAGCTCAGGGGACCCAGGGCTGAGCACCACCTGAGCTCTCTTCCTTATCCGGGGGAAAATCTCTTCCTCCAAAGCTCAGGAGCAAGTGTCCCACCAGCCACCAGCACTGGTCACATCCCCGCCTCTGATCACAAAGCGGGCATGAAATTGGCTTTGACCCCCGGAGTTAGAAATTAAAATCTCATCGCCACCCTCTGTCCTCTTCCCTCCACTGGTTTGCTCTAGGAAAGCCTCGCAAGTCTTGGGGCAGTGGGTGTGGCCGAAAACAGACAGGTGGAAACAGCTGAGACCCCAGCATAGGGGCCTCCAGGTGACACTTGAAACCTCCAGCCACACTTGAAACCTCTGGTGACAACTGACTGATTTAGGATAAAGTCCAGCACTGAGCTGCTTGAGATTGTGAATGTCTCAGATGCCACTAACTAGAGCTAATGTGTGTGTGTGTGTGTGTGTGTGTGTGTGTGTGTGTGTATGCATGCTGGAGATCAAACCCAGAGCCTCTCACATGCTGTGCACCATCTAGACATCATACCACTGAGCCAGCCCCTGACCCTGGACTCCTAAAAATGGTTACTGTGGCTTTTATACCCTAATAAAAGTAAAGCTCCATCCTGTAGCCCATGTGTAAAGGCCCACACACTCTGTCCTTTCCCTGCCTCTCTGCCAATGTCCCCTGCTTGGCCCTGGTCACTGTGCTCCATCCACACTGGCCTCTGGTTTTCCCTAGGGCCTTGGCACTTGCCGCCCCTCAGCCAGGAACTCCCCACTTCCCAGATGTCCGCCTGGCGGGAGGCTGTCCGGGACCTGCCATGGCTCTAGCTCCATCTGTCCACGTCACTTGTCTCTAGATGAAGGTGTCCTTCTGTTTTCTTGTTTAAGACCCCTCTTCCCCCACTGGAGCGTAGACTCTGGGACCCCAGGGACCCCGTTATCTCTGGGGTGAGTTTGGCATTCAGATCAGTACGTGAGAGCGAGCACGTAAGACCAGTCCTTTGTGGCCAACAGGGACACAGGAAACAGAAGGTAGTCAGCTTAGGGACCTCAGCTGCCCGAGAAGGCGAAGGGGTTGGCCGCGAGCTGGGGACCGGGAAACCTTAGTCATTGTTTGCACAGATTCCTTCCTGGGCCCTGCGGCACCCCCAGTGATCGTCATACAGTTAGGAGACTGGGCAAAAGTCAGAGATTTTTGTCCGTGCTCTTGAGGGCTCCTAAAGCCACAAGCTTCCGGCCCCACACAGCTCCGTCCAGCCCTGCCAAGACCTGGAAGATGGGCTGAACGAGGGTGAGGAGGGAGGGGATCACAGAGGAGGGTCTCGCCAGAGTTGTGGAGCAGAGAGCACCCTGAAAAGTGTAAGATCAGGTGACAGCCAACCTGCAGGTGTCCCCAGAGATCCCTGCCTCCTGCCACCCACATCCTCCCTGTGCATGCCCAGGCTGAATCGGGGCTGGTCCTGGTGGCTCACTGCATACACTGGACATGACCCTGAGTGGCTTGCAAGAGATACAGGAGCACCCACCATGGCCTCTGGACCCTTTCCCCGGGTCACTGTTTGCAGCCTGCAAACTGGGAACTCGCCACCTGAGGGTGGAGATGGTAGCCATGAGGCTGTGGTGGCAGGGTCAGCCTTCAGGTGCGTCTCTGCATTACGGATTCTTAAGACCTCCGTCTAATGGGCTCCCGGCCCTACCAGGCCAGCGTCAGCCTGGACGTCTGCTTGAGGCGTAGCACAGCTTCGGTCAAATTCCATCTGCTGGCAGCTCCGGGATGGAGCACCTCGCTTTTTGTCATGGTCACTACGAGACCAACCCAGCCTTGTAATCCCTGACCATCAGGACTTCTCCAGAGAGGTGGTCACTTCCTCTGTCACATTCTCAAGGAGGTGGCTCAGTTTGTGACAGTCTTACACAAAATAATAACAGGCGTGACAGAGTACCACGCCCTTCACGGTATTCTGGAGGTCAGAAGCAAGTCCCAGGTCCCGCCGACATTCGAGGGGAAGGGATGGAACAGGACGTGGACTCCAGCTGGAGGGGCTCATGGGGGTTACCTTCAAGTCTGCCCATTCCGTCCCAGCCCCTTGGCTTGGATGCTCCGCATTATGGAGGCCTCACTCCTTCCCCATTGCACCAGCACCCCTCACCCTGATCCTTCCCCCATTATTTTTAAAGGTTACAGTGAGTTCCCGCATAACAACGGCTGCTTGCCCTCCCCAAAGCAGCGAGCTGGAACCCACATCAGCCACCCCTGGGCCAGTGGTCTGTGCAGAAGGGTGATTCACCGTGGTGGGCCTGGTCCTGCCATCTCAAAGCTTCGCCTCTTTCTTGAGAGCTAACAGAGGAGGGCAGTGGCCACAGTGGGCCAGGAGGGTTCCAGGCTGGGCCCAGCAGAGACCCTTCAAGGTCAGGTTCCTGCAGCAGCTCCCAGTCTGGTCACAGTCACGGTCATGGTCAGCCGTGACCCAACTACCTTGGCTCCATGTGCACAGGGGACTTCACCTGCCAGATGCTCAGAGCTCCAGAGACATAAGCAAGGATGGGTGTCCCCAAGGCCCCTCTCCGAGTAACCGTGCCATCTGCAAGGCTGCAGGAGCAGAAGGCGGCTGAGGCTGCCATCAGCTCCCCAATCCTCCCCCCACCCCCCGCCCCAGAACACGCAGTTGACAAACAGCTCATCCAGTGTTTGGAAATGTCTGGATCGGTCTCAGTGGGAGCCCGCAAGCCTTCTGTGAATTTTCATGTTTTAATTCCAAAAGCAAACAGAGGGAGATGAGATCAGCTTTTCAAACCAAAGCCTTTGCTCTGGGGACAGAAAGGGCCTGTCTGGGTGCCCAGGGCTGGGCAGTGTAGTTGTTGTGGTGGCTTACAGAGTCCTTCCTTGTGACAGTGACTGCCTTGCCTGCGCCTCAGGGCACAGGATGCCAGCCCTGGGTCCTTAGAGCAGAGTCCAGTGTTTGGTAGGATCCTATTAAAAATCAAGCACCAAAGTGTGGCTTCCCTGGGACAAGTTGCTTGGAGGATTGTATCCCATCCAGAAAATTCCCGGAAGACCTACTGTGTGCCAACCTGAGCCTCTTTGACTTGGAGAATCAGTGCCTGGCACCTGGGTTTGCCACCCCTGGGAGCTCGATCCCGGTGTGTTAGGCGGATGGGCAGGGCTTCGAGCGGGCATCAATGGGAAAGTGCACACTTGGTCCACAGCACATGGTGAGGACCTCTTCTGGTGGCCTCGTCCGGCCATTCTCCTAATCTGTAAGATGCCCCAAACTTGCAGTGAGGAGTGGCCTCAAACCCATGAGCGAAAGATCTACCCTGTGCTGGGGTTTCGGGGACACTTGAGGAATCAGACCAACTCCAACGCCCAGAGAGTGTGGAAATTCTCCTGATGAATGGTCAGTAGCTGCCTGCTGGCTGGGGAACCTTCCACTTCACAGCCCGGGGGCCACTGACAATGACAGCCTTCAGGACCTGGTCCCTCGGTCCCTATGAAGATGCTGTGTCCTAAGCAAGGGCTCCCAGGGAGTAGGCTTTGGGGCCACACAGCCTAGACCTCTCTCCTGGCTCTGTCCTGCCTGGGGTGTCACTTGTGGCACAATTTACTTAACACTTCTGAGCCTTGGTTTGCTCATGTGTCAAAGGTGTCACAGACAACTTGTCAGGACAGGTGTGCAAGGTGACCAGCAAGTGCTCCGAAGAGGCTGGCTTGTGTATCTTCATCCCTTGTCCTGTTCCTTCAACATCTGGGCATAAAAGCGTGTCTTCAGTGCTGGTCATAGTGACAATTGGGGGAAGTGACCTGACACACATAGCAGGCTCTGAGTGGGAGCAAACTAAGTGAACCTTTTAATAAGGACCAGGAGAAGACTCGCTGATTAGCAGGTGGGAGGGGCCCACAGAACAAGGTGCAGCATGGTCTTTGGCTAGTGCTGGACATTTTAAAGTTAGAAAACTTCGGACTTCTGAAGACACCCTCAATGCCTTAGTGAGAGAAGTTCCCAAATTCAATTGCCTATCAATTGGTACAAAATTCATATACCTAAGAAGGAGAGGGAGAGGGAGAGGGAGACAGAGATGGAGATGGAGGAGGAGATGGAGACTGATGAATTGAAATTTCTGGGCAACCTAGCTTGACTCTAAGTGATAGGAATTTTTATGGCTTTATTCTTTGGTGAAAATAATGAAAAGTTGGGAATAACCCTGGGAATACCAATAGGGAATGCTAGATAAGGTATTGCTTTAAGGTGACTTGTTACACAGCCATAGCTAACTGATACAATATCTGTTCTAGCAAGAAAAAAAAAGGAACAGGAAGCTTTTTAGACTCTACACTTATTTTACTGATGGGTGTTACTTTAAATCACAGCTGTATGAAGTTCATCATGATATTTTTAATGCTCAGCCACACAAGGTCTTTATCCAACTCTACTTTGATCTTTTTAAAAATATTTAGCTTTTGAATAAAATATTACTGGAAGGAAAACTTCCCTGCCAGCCAGAGGCTCAAGATCACTGCAATTACGTACTCATTTTCCAGGTGTGTGATGTGCGTGAGAGGGAAGGGGACTGAGAAGAGCTGCTGAGACACCAGCCTTCCATCGGCCACCTGGAGCACTGGCCTGGGTACATACTAAGAGCTCCGGAGACTCCCTGCCACCGAAACGGGCATCAGATGCCCCCGGACCAAAGGACTCCAGATGTCTGTCCCTAAAATCCTGCAAAGGACAGCCTGTCCCCTCCTTCCTGCCTCCTACCTTGATTCTTCACGTCACGCACAGAGTCGTCACGTGATAAATGCCCACCAGATGTCTCTATTAATAAATTAGAGCTCCCCAAAGGCGTGGGATGATGGAAGGGCTGTCAGGGCACGAAGGCTCTGAAGCTTTCCAGTGTGCAGAAAATTAATCCTTTTCCTGTCCTTTCTTCTTCCTCCCTCCCTCCCCCAGGAGGCCAGGTGTGGGCAGGAGGCCTCTGCACAGCTCAGAGAGTGACAGTGAAGGGAAGGAGGGTGGCCGCACCACCAAAAGTCTCCACATGGCTGGCTGAGGCAGAGGTCTGACCGGGTGAAATGCAAAGGCCAGATTTAGGGGTGCAGAAGGGACGCTGGGGTCCTCCCTGCCCTCCCTCACGAGGCCAGAACCAGAAGGTGGAGGGACATCCTGGCAACTTTCAGCCCGATTGCTCCCTGTCCGGCTCCTCTGAACTCTGACATGCTCTCCCTCCCTCTCACGCACATCCGGGCTTTGCAGGCGTGTGGTTGGCCACCCGGAACTCCTGTCCCCTGCGAAGCTCTTCACCTGCACAGCATGGCTTTCAGGAAGCTCTCCCATGGCAACCCAAAGTCCAGGCCAGGTGACTTCCATGCACCCCCATAATTACAGCTCCTCTCATGTCGCAGCAGCGTATTTGATAGAGGCTGGCTGTCTGTGGACCCCTGTAGGCCCCACTCGTGCTTAGGCTCCCTCTGTGTCTCTGGCTGCTGAGCACAGTGCTTAGTATTTCAGAAGCGCTTGGTAAATATTTTTTGAGGGGCTGGAGGGAGAATAAAGGAGGGAATCAGGGGAAGACAGGAGTGCAGCCATGAGGGGAAGAGGCCGTGGAGACAGGAAGGGGGTGATACACGTGCCACCCCAGCCTTCAGCATCAGGAGGTCTCCGAGAGTCTGAGACCACTGAGCCTCCCCTGGGCACAGCACTTTGTCATCTCTTAGGCCTCAGCCTCTCTCCCTGACAGGTCCTAACAAGTGATTCACAACTACGTCAAAAGCAGATTGAGCCTGGCCGACACCGACCAGCCAGTCACAGAGACTGCAAAGGGCTCAAAGGCTCCGAAGAGTTTGCAGATGCAGACACTGAGGTACCGAGCAGGGAGAATTCCCTGGCTGACCTGGGCCGGTTTGCAGAGGGTTCTAAGGGTGAGACTACTCCGGTCTCTCCCTGCAGAGGCTAAGGCAAGCAGGATTGTGATTTACAGTTTACAAAGCTAGGTGATCACACACATTTTATCAAACATACAGGGCTCATTGGTGGGGGTAGGGAGGGAGGACAGAGTCTATAGCCTCACTGGCAGCGTCCTAGAGTCTGATTATGGGGAGGAGAACAGTGTCTTTCCACAGTTTCTAACTTTGTGCATGCAACTCAAGATGGGCTGCTTTGCATCCTGTCTAATCATTTATTGGATAACCCTGGGAATACCAATACCAATAGGGAATGCTAGATAAGTTATTGTTTTTAGGTGACTTGTTACACAGCAATAGCTAACTGATACAATCTGCTGTGCATGTTTAGGAAATGAATCCAATTAAAGCACAAAAGAAGGGATTCATGTGCCAAAGGCATTTCCCTAGGAAATCAGGGTAGCTTCCAAGGAGGTGCAGAGGACGATCCAGCCCAGAACAGCCCACGAGCTCTGCACTGTTTGCCTCAGCCTCGGTGAATAATAGCAGCGGCTGTTGCTAACATTTTCCTTCTCTAAGGACCGTGTTTCCTGCCAAATGCTACAGAAATAGGCAGAAAGTGATCAGTAACCTTGCTGCCTTCCACAGACTGCCACCGAGAATTATCTGAGAGCTCCTCTCAGGAATATTTTGACTCCCTTTTATCAAGTTTGTTTCTATTTAAGAGGATTTCATGCAATTTGTTTTCCTCAGATAAATGTTCTCAGTTTCTTTTTGTTTAGTGACTCGATTTTTTAAAACGACGTATAAAAAGTACTCGTCTTCCACAGTCTCTCTTTAGGGGCGAGCTATCTTGAAGACGAAAAGATGGAATTCGGCATGGAGACAAATGAAAGCATTACAAAATACTCACTGTTCTTTATCGCTGCAGGAAGGCAAAGCAAGGAGAGAAAAAAAAAATGAATAACGTTAGGCGAGAAATCTTGTCACCATACCAACGCCTGATGGATTCAACTGCCACGCGGTTCGAATTACGAGGATCTAACTCAGTTTTTCTTCAATCATTGTCTCATATCAATACATCTAGGACAGGGCTGCGTCCAGGCAGGTTATAAAACCCACGTTCACGAGTTAGCAGACCAACCAGTTCAAACTATTAATGGACTGAGCACTCGTGTGTCTGAATAACGGTTGTGATATGCAGGTAAGGACTGACCTCGTGGTTTTTGTTATTTCAAAGGCTGAATGCGTGCATGGAGTGCAGGCACAGGAGTAGGTCCAGGAGCCCTGAATGGTAGACTGCACCACGGGCCAGGCTGGGAAGCAAGTCTTTCTGTCCCAGAAAGGGACCCGTATCTCCATTCCCCAGGGTGAGGCCATAGGCAGACCATCCTTCCTTTGTGCCTCAGTGTCTGCCTCCCATCTCTGGCCTCTCTGGCTTGCAGACTTGATAGCTGAGAGAAGCATCAGTGTGTGGAGAGCAGCATGGCTCCCCGTGAACCCCCAGCATAGAGAGCCAAGCCCCTGCCCTAAGCGAGCCAGAGGCAGGTGCCTGGGTCCCTCTCAGATCCCATCCTGTTGGCTTCAGATATAATCATTAGGCTGGAGGAGAATGCAGGGGAAGACATTCAAGTGTCTCTGGCTGGCTGGCAGTTCATTAACTGGGCTCCTCAGTTTACTGGAGAAAGGTGTGAGCACGGCCTGCATGAGAACATCACGCTGCAACCGAGCGGATAGTATGTGTGAGGGCTGTAATTCACCCGCCGGCATTTATTGAAAAATAATTTTACTATCTGGAGAAAACACAGTAGCAGTCAAGGATGTGCTTGGAATGCCAAGATGTTCGTGGGAACCCAGGAGCACTCTAATGACACCGCGTCCAGGCTGAACAGTTCTAATTTAATTGTAAGGCAAATTGTTTGGCTTTATATCAACTAAAGTAAATTTTGATGGATGAGATTTTAATTAACTGACATTTCTTAAATAAAATAAATAGCGTACCCCATCCACCCTCCAGGCAACTGTTTATCTTACAGAGACATGCTTTTTGGCAGGCAGAATATCATCTGCAAATTCAGTTTGGATCCAAGAAGACATCATGGGGAGAGCTTTGGAAACTAGAAGTTTCCTGTGTACAAGGAAACCAGCAGGCTTCAGCTGTGTCTCCTAAATGCCAAAACTCTCAGGGCTGGAGAAAGTTTAAGGTAAAAGTCCCAGACACAAGAAGGGTGGGTAAAAGGTCCTTCCCCAGTATACAAACATGCTAGAAAATTAAATCAAACCCTCCTAAACCCAGTGCAGGGCTTGCTAGAAAGGAGAGGAATTTTCTAAGGCTTTGCTCCTTTTCAAAACAAACAAAATAGTCATCAAAACACAAACCATTTCCTCTTCCCAAGTCCCTGTTATGCAATGCAAAATGCAGGCAGTAGGCTGGGAGACAGTATTTGAGAAATGTTTATTTAACGACTTTTATCTGGAACATTAGAAAAACATGTAAGAATTACAAGAAGATAAATGACCTGATTTTTAAAATGGATAACAGATTTGAGCAGATACTTCAACAAAGAAGTGTGATTAATGGTAAGGTTATATAAGATGTTCCACACCATTAATCATGAAGGAAATGCAAATTATAGAGCATAATGAAATACAACCGTGCGCACACTAGAATGGTTAAAAATAAAAAGATTGAGCATAACAAGTGCTGGAGAGGAAGGAACTGTCAGACACTACTGATGGGAATTTTAAAAATGGTGCTCCCCATTTGGAAAATAATTTGGTCATGTCTCAGAAAATTAAACTAACACCTACCATATGACTGAGACATTTCACACTTAAGTAATTATCCAAGAGGAATGAAACCATATTTTACACAAAATTTTGTTTGTGTTAGCTCAAAGATGGAAGCAATACAAATGCCCATCAATGGTTGAATGTGACATATTCACAAAAGGAATATTATTCAGCAACAAAAAGGAAAAGCACTGATATGCCAAACAGTATGGTTGGATCACAAAATAATCAGAGTTAAAGGAAGCAGATAGCTCTCCCCTTTCCCTTCAAAAAGTCTACATGGTACGATTCCACTTATATAAAACTCTAAGACATGCAAAATAATTTATAGGTACAGAGAAGAAATTAGTGATTACTTAGGGAGCAGTAGGGAGGAGGCAGGAAGAAAGAGCAATGAAGTGGCAGAAGGAGGTTCTGATGGCCGTGTCCCTTTCTTGAGCACTGTGATGTTCTCAGAGGTATGCCAAAGAGTCATCAGACTGTACAGTGCAAGACCTGAAGTTACTGCCCTTGAATTACTGTTGTAATGCTGATTATACCTTTACAAGGTCATTAAAAATGAAAAAGAATCCAGTAACCTGCACTCAGAACAGCTGCTCCTGAGGCTGATCCAGCTTCCTCACAAAGCGGGGAGCTGGACCTGAGATCCCACCCTGAGCCAGCTCTCACTAGTTGCTAGGTTGCCTGGGCTGGCCTCAAACTTGCAACCTTCTGCCTCAGCCTCCCCCAGTGCTGGGATTACAGGGGTGTATCACCGTGATTGGCTCGATCACAACCTTTAGAGGAAGTAGAAAGCAGGGCTCTGGTTGGGAGCTCTGGGAAGGCTAATGGATAGGGCCAGATACAATAACGCTGTTTCTTTTAACATTTTATCCATACCGAGGATCAAACTCATGACCACCTGCTTGCAGGGCAGGTGCTTATGCCGCTGAGCTAAATCCCCAGCCCCCATAACACTGTTTCTTTATTTGTTTATTTTTAAGGCTGTCTTCCCTACAGTTTGCTTGTGAAATGATTTAAAGAAAACAGCAATAGCGGTGTTGCACAGAAGAGGTTTAAATCGTGAGAGGGTCCCTGAAGGCCCCCACATAGGGAAACTCAGGTCCCCAGTAAGGAAGGATCCTGGTTAAGAATCCTTTCCATAATCCTTGTGCAGGCCAGAGCCACTTCCTGACACCCCTTTTCTTTCTTCAGTACTGGGGACTGAGCCCAGACCTTGCACCCACTAGTTGAGCCACTGAGACTGGCTGCCACTACGATGCCCAGGGTGGGCTCGAATGCACGATCCTCCTGCCTCAGCTTCCTTAATAGCTGGTATTACAGGATGTGCCACAGCTGAAAGATCACAGCTCCTGCCCACGTTTATACCACTAGTTTCTCATACTTGACTGAAAAGAAAATTTTATGCTATCATCTGTTTGTTTCTTCTTTGTAAGTCTTTTTTTTCCTATGTCTCGTAGCCCTGAATAACTATTTTTAAGATTCTCCTACACAGTGTATGAATTAATGCTACTATTTTGTTATGAAATTCTGTTTTGTTTTTTATAGAATAAAAAATAAAGACAGCAGCAGCTCCTGAAATCATCCTTCTGAATGACACGGAAGGATTTTTTGATCCAAGGCTGTTAGCTCTTTTGTTTTTCTAAGAGATGCCGGAACTTTGGATTTCTGTGAAATCTCTCAGTTCTTACTTATCTGGCCCAACACTGAAGCACAAACAAAAGCCCGCCCTTGTGCAGGTCACACAGCCTGCGCCCTGCCAGTGTGTGTGGCAGAACCTGCCCCAGGTTCTCATTTGACTCATGAGGAAACTGAGGCTGGGGAGGGGACGGGCTTCGATCGCACAGTGAGTTCACTCAGATCCGGAGTGAATCCGGCTCAGTGCTGGTCCGCCCTGTGCTGTCTCCAATGTGCCTTCCAACGGTGCAGAGAAGTGGACCACAGGAGAAGCCTCCGCCACCCGGGAGGCGACTGCATTTCTTTTTCTAGGATTGCCCCATTCTCTCAAGGACCGCGGCTGTACCCCTCTCCTCCCCATGTGAGCCCCTCCCGGCAGGCGAGGACTGACCTGGACTGCAGGGGACGGTCGCTGGGGTACATCCATCGGTTTGAGCTGCTACTGACCACGGTGTCCGTCATGGTGCGAGGCTCAGGCGCGTGCTCCTGCAAGACACCAACCCAGAGAGGATGTCACCCAGGTGCAGAGCGTCACTCTCCGTCCCTACCCTGTGTCATGTTTGTGGGGGAAGCAGAGAAGGCCAGCTTCACCCCGAGTCTCCATTTCCGGATAGGGTACCAAGGGCACCAAGTGGGGACACGTCCTGCGGGAAGGCACGGTCATCTAGGAGCCACAAATGGACCCCAATCAAGAGTTCCTGACCTTCATCTAAACCCTTCCCGTCCCCCTCCTTTCTTTCCCTTTTATTGACACGGATCATCACCGAGCCCCTAATTGTGCAGGCTGTGATCCTCCCACGTCAGCCCCCCAGACAGCGGGAATACGGGCAGCTGCCACCACACCTGGCCTTTCCACCCAATTTTGGAGCAAGGCCACACCTCCAGCAGGACACAACTGGAATGCAGGGTCTTCCCGCTGGGAAGTGTCGTCTAACTTTTTTACCCAGCGTATTCCTGACCCCCTTTCTTCAAACTGGATTGAGAACCTGCCCCCGGCCTTGGCCTGCCCTGCTGTTCCGCACACCCAGACTTCGTCTCCCTGCCTGGCTTCCGGTGGGGACCTCCTCCTCCTCCTCTTTCCTGTGTGTTGAATGGAGGAGTGTCCCAAATGTCCATGGGTCATAGGCTTGGCCCTCAGGGTGGAACTTTTGGGGTGCATTGTGGATCTTTAAGGGGAGTGGCCTGGGTCACTGACAGGGTGTCCTTGAAGGAGCTAGGGGGACCCTCCTTGCACAGGCTGCTTTCTGGCTCGTGATGTACGTGGTTTGCTCCTACAAGTGCCTCTCCACTGATGCACTGCCCTCGCACAGGTCAAGATGATGGCCCAGGCTTTGATTTGAACCTCCAGACTGTGAGTCCAAATCAACCTCTTTCCTGGATAAGTTGCTAGTATCAGGCGTTTCATGATAGCGAGGGGCAGCTGACCGTTACAGTCCCTCTGTGTATCTGACTTTGCCCACAACAGTCGTTGCTACAGCGGTCATGGAGAGCTTGAGCCACACATGTCACAGCCACAGCCTCTCGAGGGTAGACAGAATTACCACAGGCCAGCAGCCCTGCTCCTAGGAATCTCCTGGTGAGAAGGGAAAACACAGCACACAAACTCATACACAAACGTTCACGGCCACATCGCTCCTAACAGCCACAAAGTGGGAGCCAGTAGTCACCAGCTCTTGAATGAATAAACGAGGTGGCATCTCTGTGTATAGAAAATGATTCAACCATAAAAAGAAATAAAGCATTGATGTAAAAGGTCCTGTAATGTATGCTTTCATTTACATGAAAATATACAGAATCAATACAAAAAGTAGATTAGCAGTTGCCTAGGACTGCAGGGGACTCGGGAGCTCAGGGTTTCCTTTTGGGGTGATGAAACTGTCTTAAAATTAACTGTAATCATGGCTGCGGGACCCGGGGTATACAAAACTGTCCATCTGCAATGGGCAGTGTGAGTTGTACACCTCAGAGCTGAAAAAGTGGTACAACTATGTTAGAAAATGATCTTTTGGCAATATCCACTAACCCAAAAGCATGTGGCCCAAGAAGTCACCCAGATGCATACCCCAGAAAACAGAGTCTCTGATCCCAGAGATGGAGGGGATGCTCTAGTCACCTTCCCCGTCTTAGCTGCAAAGAGGAAGCAGCAATGCCCCCGACAGTGGACTGGGTAAATCAGTCTTGCTTTCTCCCTGGTTTCTTTGTGCTGCTCAGTGATGAGACAAACTCCCAATAGACATAAAAACCTCTGTGAATCTCACAGACACTGTGTTTAGGGAAAAAGCCAGCATCCAAGGAGAATTCGCTGTCTGGTGCTATTCACATGAAGGTTTGGGGCAGGCAAATCGATAGGAATCTGAGCAAATCAGCTGCTCGCTCTGGGACGGGAATTGATTGGAAAGTACACAGGGTATTGATTGGAAGGAACATGGGGGCCTCTATGGGGTGAGAATGGCCCGTATCCCGATCTGAGTCACTAACCAGCATGGACGTGTGCAGAGACCATACGCTAACCTCTCAGAGGCTGCACCTTCTCCTTACTTTCACCCCAAACAGTAAGGCGGCATCTGCTTCTCTCTTGCTCAAAAGCCTTCCATGGCTCCCCGTTGCTTCTGGACTAAAATCTGAACCCTTTAGCACACCTTGGGAGCTCCTCCTTCTCCTTTCTCCCCCTCTCCTCTCTCATCCTCTTCCTCGATGTTTCTCCAACATCTGGAGCAGTCCCAACTGCTCTTTGCTCCCCAGGGGCCCCTTCCCTAGACACCAGCCCTGCTCACCCGCCGCTGCCACGCAGGGCTGCCCTGAAATGGCCCCTCCACAAGGGAGCCTCTCTGATCACTGGATTCATCTGTTTATTCACTTTTAGGGCAGTGCTGGGGGTGAACTCAGGGCCACAGGCGTGCTAGGCAAGCGCTCTGCCCCTGAGCTGCATCCTCAACCATTTTTTGTTGCTTATTTTAATTTTATTGTTTAAGATAAATTTTACTCTGCATATTTAGCATGTCATAGATATGTAAATACACACTAAAATGGCTAGCTAGGATGCTGGGAGAAATAAACATATCCACGATCCCCCTAGCTCCCCATTTTTATTGTTGATTTTGGGGCCAAAGGATCAATAATATACTCAGACAGCAAAACTCCTACATGCAACACACCATCATAAACCACAGTCTTTGTGCTGTTTGTTAGATTGTCTATTTCCTCATCCTGTATGTTTCCTATCTCAAGTTAACACAGCTGCTCCTCTACCTCCTTTACCTGGGTTCCCTTTACTCTAATTCCTTTTTTTTCGTACCTCTTACCACTAATCACAAAAATAATTGGTTTATATTTGGTTGTCAGTTTAGAGCATGAGTCTCCCTACCAAAATACAAGCCTTTTGCAGACTTTTGTTTTCTGCTTGATTTCCATGATGTTGAGCACACAGAAGGCTCTTAGTATGTGCTGAATGGGTGACTGTCTGATGTTCTCTCTGGACCTATTTCCCCTCCAGTATCTCACTGAGGAAGAAGCTGCAGAGTTTACAGGAAATATTTGAAAAGGACACAGAAAGAGATTGGTGTATCCGGTGGGTGCTGGCCTCCTATCAGGTTTGTTATGACACAGTCTTGTTTTCTGTGAGATGAAGCAGATGCAGGGGGTGGCCACAGGCTGGCTGTTCTCTGACCGTGCAGCCTTTGGGTGGGTCCCATCTCCAGAGGGGAAGCAGGCTGGGCACACAGGAGGGAAGGCCAGGCAGAGCCATTTCATCTGCCCCGCGTGCGGCCCATGCAAGCGTCCCAGGTCAGTGCGACCCACCTCAGGGCCACTGCAGAACAGTCAGGAGGAGAGTGAGCCCTGTTGGGAAGAGAGTGCTGCAAAGAGCAGTGAGGTCTCCTTGCTGCCCGGGCCCTGGGGGCTTCTGATCCCGGCTGACACAGGGAGCTGCAGGCCTGGGTGAGTTTACCAGGAGCTTTGCAGCCGGGAGCAGCCGTGGCCCTAGAAGGCTGCCGGGGAGGGGCGGGCAAGGCGCCCTGCGATCACCTCCTCCTGGGGGCTCTGGTCTCCAAATTCCGCCACTCTTAAGACAGAAGCTCCCTGCACCTGTCACCCACGTCCCCCTAGAATCCCATCTGCGGAGGGCAAACTCCCCGTGGAAGCCGCTCACCCTTCTCTCCAGCCAGAAGCCAGCCTGGACAACCTGGATTGGACTTACTGACCCTGCACTTAATGACCCTGGATTGGACTCTTCGTCCAGGGCTCACTGTGGTCCACTGGACCTGGGCCAATCTGCGCAATTGATGCTATCTGGATGCCTGGAGAAATGGGCCCAGAGAGGTCTGGTACAGGGCAGAAAGGGCACATTAGATGTGGCTGCTGGCCACCCAGATCCGCCTGGCAGCAGTAGTCCTCCCGCCCTCTTCCAGGGGAGACACTGGGGGTGGGGAACACAGCTACCCCAGGGGCAGCCAAGGCCAGTGATGGCTGGAGAGGGAGGGGCAGAGCACAGATTCTAAAGCACAGACCTGCGTATCAAGTGGGATGGCCTGTGACACTGACCTCGGGGCTTCCTGGAACTCAGGCTGGGGCCAGGGGTCAGCTGAGGCCACATCCTCACCTGCTACGCTTCAGGCACCCCAAATCTGTCACCAGCATAGGAATCTCCATCTCCAGTTCTGCTTCTAGGGACCTTGATTTCAAGTGAGACTCATAGGGGACCCCAGGAGAGAGTGGGCCGTCAGTTGCCATTTCCTATCTTACAGAGCGTGACCAGAAGGAGTTGGTCCTCCCAGCCGTCTGCAGGCGACCCCGTGAAGGCAGCAGGCTCTCGGGGAGGCGCAGTCCCTCTGGCTCCTGGCTGCATTCCCACCTCTCAGCCTCAGATGAGCAGTGATCCGCCCACCCCGTGCCCTGCCGGGTGACTCCGAAAAGCCACACACCTTAGTCTGTGCAGGGACAAACGTAATTGCCCTTCTGGGAAACCAGAGACTCCAGCTGCTCTTCTCAGGCTGGTCCCTGCGTGTGCACTGAGGAGCAATTTCCTGCCAGTCCCCAAAGTAATAAGGACAGTGGAAAGTTCACCACCAAGGCTCCCTGCGTGCTCCACGCCCTGCGTGTCTTGTCTCAGTGGCTGCCCGTCTCATCCTCATCAGAGCTTGCAGGAAAAGATGAGTGCGTAGGGCGAGGCCCAGCACCCCAGTGAGTGTCACCTGAGTCACGGAGCTCAGTGAATGCAGAGGGCTGAGGACAGATCCGCCTGTGAGCAGCCGAGCTGGGCCTGCCTCCGAAGCCCAGTGCTGACTGTAAACCTCCCCGATGCCTAGATTGGGAGAGACCCTGAGTTCACCCTGCAAAACCCAGATTCTGAGCCCTTCCTCTCCTATCTCTGTGTTCCCTGCTACCTGCTTCCCTGGCTCCCCTCCAGCACCATTTGCTAAGGACTGGTGGTTCCAAGCTCTGGGACCTTGCGGGTCTTCCACTAGCTGGAGCTGAGTGGATAAAACAGC